GGTACTAAAAGCTACCGCATTATGATTAAACAAAATGATGAAATGGTACCAGAAGCTACCATTGGATGATTGAACAAAATGAGAAAGTGGTACCAAAAGTTACCAGTTATGGGTGATCACAAAAATGATTTCTCAATATATTATATGAGTCTACGAGACTATATCATATCATACTGAGATTCGAGATTATATAAATACTACAATAAAGTGCTCCAGAAGAAGCACATATGGTAAATAATTGTAGTCATGAAGTACTACACACTTATTTTGTGGAAAAGCCAAATTGATATTATTATTAATGAGAAATAAGTAATGAAAGTTCATATGATGGAAATATGGAGAAGAGGCAGTACATACTCGATAAATACAAAATGCGAAAAATATTACATAATAGAACCTATAAAAGAAGGGTGCGTCTCGAGAGTATAAAACTCCGTAACTCTGCCACCCATTATTAATATCTGGGTTCATAATGAGAGATCTAAAGGATCAAAAGCTCTTTTTCTTTTGACCCCTTGTGTTTCCACATAATCTTAAAATGTGATGCATTCTTGGAGCTTTTTGATAAGCTCACCAGACGTATCTGCAAATTTGAATACTTCTCTTGTTGTAGGAGATATAAAGGTTTGATATACTCCTTGGTCTAAAAATCCAAGCAAACCAGAAAAAAAGTTATTAAAATTTAATATACCTATGGGCTTGTTATGAAGTTTCAATTCTGCCCAAGAAGCAAGGATGAACATTGTCATTAGCAATCCATAACCGCCTGGAAGAATGATAAATGCATCGCTCTTGTTCGCCATATCCATCATACAATCATGAATAGAATGAGTTAGCATCATGCATATGGAATCCTTGACGACCCTTGTTGAAGCTCTATGAAAATGTATGATACTTTTCACTTCTATCTCAAAACATTTTCCAGCCAATAAAAGATTACCAAAGAAAGTGATGCTAGTCCCTCCATACAGTAAATTGATTTTTTTGATTTCCCACATCCCTTACTAACTGACTTACAATATCAACATTTTGAGAAAAACTTACCAGTCTAGAACCACCAAGAACACAT